TTTGAACAGATCAGCATAAGCCTTTCCTACCTGTGTAAATACAAATTAAAAGAATATTACCAAGGTTGCAGGTTTGAAACAAGACAGATAAAAACTGGGCACAGACACATAATCAATTGACTGACATGCAAGAATACATTCCAGAGATTTTTTTAAACAAGGAAACAGGGGCACAGCGCCCTCATGTCATGGCCATGCGCCCCCGGTACCCTGGGGAGCAGATAAAATTCTTAACCATAAAAACCATAAAATTCTAATGACCAGGGATCACATGTGGCCACAGTCTTCAATGTGAGCTGTATGATAGTAATTTTGGCCCCAAAGAAGCCATATAATGCTCCATTTTAACTTAGAATTTTCAAAAACTCCACACCCTGGTAGGGAAAACCCTATCTCCCCACTTGCAGTGCTCCCTCTTACAGTTTTTTTCTAGAAAAAATCCCTGAATTCTTAAAGTATACAAATTCACATCACGTGATTTTGATGGAGTCTTAAATCACATATCACCACACATGTATACGAAACATGCATACAATATCGGTAGTATACTCACATAAAGTGGGGAGGCGTTTTTAGCCCCAACATACAAATAACCATATTTTTCTTGGGTTTCCTCTGGAGGTATATAATCTATAACACAGCAGTCTTGTAACTGAAAACACAAACATATAAAAATATGTGATAAACTATCTATTTATTTTTGCTTGCTGAAAATGTTATTATTCAAAGGCATTTACAAGGACAAAATTGTGTACAAATTGTTTGTCTTAAAAACTCTCAGAAAATCACTACTAACAAATTTAATTATTAATTCTGACTCATGAACTCAGTTTACATTAGTTTGGTGAGTTTGTTCAAAATGTAGAAACAAAAAAATTCTTCACAGTTCCAATTATGCAAATTTGTTCAATAATATGCTTAAATCTCATTCTCAGCAGTTAGTTATTCAAATATGTTCATAAGTATGCATAGATCCCATTCTCTGCAGTTACCATTATGCAAAATAGCTAATTAGTATGCACAGACCTCATTCCCAGTAGATGTGTTTTTATAATGACAGAGATCCAAATAATTGCTAGTATGATAACCTAACAAGTGATGAATCAGTTAAACTACTAGTGCCTCACCTGTAAAAGTGTACATTGTAATCTTTCTCCTTGCTTCGTCCAGAGCGGCATCATACCCAACTTGACAGCAATCACTCCACATCGTTTACTGTGTTGTGTCCAATTACCTGCCTCCCAAGGTTCATTTTTAAGTGGACTTGGTCGGAGAATGTTCCTTACTTTGGCATAATCTACACTGAAATCTAAGTTTTCTGTTGTTAAATCACTTTCCAGATGCCCACTTTGTAACGATGTGCTCTTATCTTGAATCGTGGATGAATAACTCCTAGCGGTAGTGACACAGCTATATGATATTCTGATGAAACAAACAATTTCAATTAGTACAAGCATTTCATTTCAAATATTTTACAATATTACACATCCTTCACAAGTTACACTGAGCCAAAATTTTGTACCGGGTATCCACCTTTAGGAATTGTGAATTGCACATTAGGAAATCAGAATCACATTTTCAAATTCATAGAGAGAAAGATGGATTGCGTTTGAAAGATGTACTGGGTTAATACGAGAATACTGTAAAACCATTAATTTTCACTGGCATTTTTAAATTCACGAATCTGGCAGAGGAATAATGAGTTCTATTTTTATTCTATATGTTCATGGTATTTTCGATGTTTTTAGCAGATATTACTCACAACAAAATAACAAAAATTGAAAACCAATGATTATTCAATGCATTACAGTACCTCTTCTACAAGTCGTTTTTCCAGCCGTAGTGTTTTCATGTACACTTTGCTGCGTCCTCGTAATAACCTCATAATAATATATAGAAAATTGTTCTCATTACGAGCAAGGCTGTACTCAACAAAAATAAAGATCACATATATATCAAGGTCTGGCACCAAGTGCAACATGCCTTAGCTAAGATAATTTGTTTCACGAAACAACTTTTACAATCCAGTGTCAAAAAATGCTTTTATTAAAGGACGATGGTTGTTGTGCCGAGTTGTCTTCACTATAGGACTCATAGCGACGTACACGTTTGTTTAAATGGTATTTATTATAGCAGATCGACTAAAATAGGAAAGTGAAATTTCAGAGAAAACTGACCAGTTTTGAAATCTACAGTCCATTATTTTGCAGCCTTATTTTGTACAATGAAAAAGAATGGTGAAAAATAGCGAGAAGTTCACAAGCCAGCCACACAACCCGTCAGAATAAAAAATATGCGATTAGGCCGTGAATCGAAGTCTTTCAGATCGAAAACAGCATTAGCAAAAAACACTTGAGGGCGCTAGTCCGAACTAGGTGCACTGAATTGTACCTGGAACTGGTCTGCAAAACAGCTCAGAAAGTCAACGTTCAACGTTTTATATAAACATTCGTGACATGGGTGATAAGGGTGGCTCATTGACAGTATTGAATGCCAGGAATAATTGGACGATTCAAGGCAATCATACATGGTCAATGTCGAATTGCTGTGCGTTTAATAGGTGACTGAAATTGGCATGCATTCTCCGTATAGTATATTGCCCAACAATTTTGGTCTTGTCACTGTATCTAATGAAAAATTCAATAACAGAACTTACCTCGTGCTCAATTCACATTTACAGGCCTGTCTTACGAAGTTAACGGGCAAGATTCGAAGATAAGTCTGGAAACACATGGACGCAGCCATCTTCGGCCTGTTATTATCACCGAGTTGCTACACGCATTTCTATTGGTCAAATGTTTCCTGTATCGCGGGCTGGACCAATTACAATTTATGTTACATCTTACACGAAGTATTTGCGCCCTCACAATTCAGATGGAAATCTTTAGAGAAAGCATGTCGTACGTAGAAATGTTCATCGGTCGTTAAACGTAATATTATACCTTTTGCGATATTTATAGGGCAACCATTGGTCGCTTATAATTTCAGTGGCACTGGTCAGACGACACTCACTTCTGTAATAGTTTGGTATACTATTGGATATAATCACACACAAAAAACGCGCATTGTTTTTATTTTGATTTGATTGTGGAATGGTTATTGACGGGATGGTTATAGGAAAAGATGGACCCTTCTCAGCTTCAACGTTTGCAAGAAGAACAGCACAGAGCTTTGAACGATTGTGCCGAAAAAATTCAACAATGGTAAGTCAGACAGAATATTATACAAACAAAAAATCAAGAACAATATACTCCTGAATGTGAAAAATTATTGCTTTTCTCTTGGTTCTAAATAGTCCGTATTTATTTATTTATTTATTTATTTGTTTGTTTGTTTGTTTGTTTATTTATTTACTTATTTGTACGTACCTGCTCGATATTTCGAGCGACAATATTAGTCATTTTTTTATTTATTCACAAAATCTAGCCACCAATAAGTCAGTATATACAGCCTGACATGTATGTCAAATCACTTAGCATTATTTGTATCATCTATTGATCGAAACCTAATATTTAATATAAGGAGAAATTTTTGAAAATCCTTATCATCTGTATGAATGTTGCAGGGAAAAGTTTGATGAAGATTACAATGCTTTACATGAAAGATTGGAAACGCTACCTGATAAAACAACCCACGATGTTATGGTGAGTGGTTAAACATTATGTTGATATTGTTTACACGTAAATAATTTCTTCCACCAAAAATTTTTCTCGACAAAATTCTTGCCTGTACATAAGATATCCAATGAGTGTATCATATTTACTAAACAAGTTTAGTTATTTTAATGATATTCTGAGTTTGGTCACAAATTTTATTATCCAATTTACAATACAATAGCACTTTATTATCACCGTAAAGAAATTACAATCTTTTTGGACTCTGAATAATGAAGTTTAATTAATAATTAATTTATAACATGTGTGCGTTTCCAGCTGTTTTGCCAGCAGAAATTGATATTAAAATCCATATTTGTGTCTTCGCACGTCATAAGTGTCTTAACAAGTTTCTATTTATTTGCATACACCAATGCTGTTCCTTGAACATTTTTGCGGCCAGTTTATTGGCTGCTATAGAACAAGGATGTTGAATACATATTTTGGCACACAACTAATGACTCTATGGTTTTTATTACAGGTACCATTTGGATCCCTTGCATTCATGCCTGGCAAGCTGGTACATACAAATGAAATACTAGTCTTACTTGGTGACAACTGGTTTGCTGAGAGATCCGCTAAACAGGCTTGTGGAATTGTAGATAGGAGGAAAAAACGTAAGCATAACATGCCATTTTTGGTCACTATGGGAATTGGAATGAGTATAGAATTTAATGGTTTTTCCAGTGTTGATTTGGCTTGAAAAAACATCCTGTGAAACATTCTCCAATTTTAATGTATGTGCTGCAAAAATGTGATATATGTGATGGTGTGGAACACATCTTATTTTGGCTTACATTGCAATTTGATGGATGTTTAGTTCCAGTATTGTTTAGTTGGCAAAAGCAGTGTGTATCTTCCCTGGAAGTAAAGGTATACATGTATACAATCTTTAGAAACCAAGGCTGGTCTTAAAATATATTTGATAAATGTTCAAAGAGAGTTTATTGTTTTTTCAGAGGTGGAAGAAAATCTCAAACAACTGAGAGAAGAAAAACGTTTGCTTGAAGCACAGGCTGGTTTCACAGATGATTTCCGCACTGAAAGCAGCAATAAAAAGGATATTGTTGAGATCAGAGAAGACTATGATCCTGAGAAAGAGGCTAAATGGAGAGGTGAGTGAAATCCAGCTTGTACAAATCACCCTTTATCAGTCACCATTTGAACGCAGTTCAGAAACGGGCACTTATGGATTGACCTCTATGCATGCTTCCGTGTGTCTGTCTGCCTGTGCGTCTGTGCGTGCAGTCGGACCTATATCTTAGACATGCCTGGACTTATTACATCCAAACTTCACACATACATCATATATTATATTATACATATGCATATCAATCTGATTCACGATCAAGGTGGCCGAATGGCAGCCATTTTTTTTATTGAAATCAAGCATTTCTGGCATTCTGAAACCAAATCGCGGCTGTTTACAGATGGATTTCGTTCAAACTAGGCGCATACATTGGACATTATGGGACCTTGATGCACGTTATTTTGTTTTTCAGATCGGATTCAAAATGGCTGACTGGTGGCCATTTTCTTTTAATCAATGCAATTCTAGTGCTATATCTCTGACATGCTTTGACTGATTTTGATAAAATTTTATATATATTCATAATACATCATGTCATTGATATACAGGTGTATTCAAAATGGCCAACTCTTGGCGAATAATTAACGGTTTGCCCAAACGTACGGTACAGTTGGAGGCGTGGCCTGTTCAGAATTTTTCATGAACCAATCACAAGACTGGTTGCGAACCAGTTGAGCGAGGCTAACTGAGCAGTAACCTCGTAACCAGTCTATGATTGGTTGTTGACACATTTTGAATATGCCATGCCTCCAACTGTGTCATGCGTTTGGGAAAACCGTTAAATATTCATAAATGGAGTCAATAGATTTATTCTGCAGATATCGGTAAAATGTAGGTAAGGATTTGGCGAAATTTGAAAGAGCAACTAATATTCTTGTATTTATGTATTTTTTTTAGATTTTATTTTTCATTCTTTTTGACTGTTTTTTGAGTTTAAAGAAAATGTGAGCTGGCTGGAGCCTTCATCCCTTGTCCATTTCTTATACTAAATACCAGCCAATACCCCCCCCACACTCATAGGTAGTGTGTACAGTTGATCATAGTTCCTGGGCTCCCTGTGCTCATACAGCACCGTTCGTATTCTATTGCATGACCATGTAAACTTGGTCAGTACTGTTCAATTGCAGCTGTTGTCGCTTACATGGGTAAGACTTTTTCTTCTTGTAGAAGAAAGACGAAAAAAAGGCAGAGAAAGAGCAAAAGAGAGGGAGAAGGAAAGGGAAGAAGAACTTAGAAGATTGAAAGAAACAAAACAATCAGAGGAGAGCACCAAGGAAGTTAGCAAACCTTCAATTACTGAAGAAGAGTTGTGGGAAAGATTGGACAGACTTGAGCAGTTAGAGGATGAATTGGATGAATTAGCAATGTAAGAAACACAATTTTATTGAGTTTACAGTGTTAACCAAGTAAATTCAAGTTGGTTTATAGTGGTTAACCATGTAAAATCTAGTGGGTTTACAGTGGTTAACCATGTAAATTCTAGTGGGTTTACAGTGGTTAACCATGTAACTAGTTGGTTTACAGTGGTTAACCATGTAAATTCTAGTGGGTTTACAGTGGTCAACCATATAAATTCTAGTGGGTTTACAGTGGTTAACCATATAAATTCTAGATGGTTTACAGTGGTTAACCATGTAAATTCTAGTTGGTTTACAGTGGTTAACCATATAAATTCTAGTGGGTTTACACTGGTTAACCATGTAAATTCTAGTGGGTTTACAGTGGTTAACCATATAAATTCTAGTGGGTTTACAATGGTTAACCATATAAATTCTAGTGGGTTTACAGTGGTTAACCATGTAAATTCTAGTGGGTTTACAGTGGTTAACCATGTAAATTCTAGTGGGTTTACACTGGTTAACCATGTAAATTCTAGTGGGTTTACATTGGTTAACCATGTAAATTCTAGTGGGTTTACACTGGTTAACCATGTAAATTCTAGTGGGTTTACACTGGTTAACCATGTAAATTCTAGTTGGTTTACAGTGGTTAACCATGTAAATTCTAATGGGTTTACAGTGGTTAACCATATAAATTCTAGTGGGTTTACAGTGGTTAACCAAATAAATTCTAGTGAGTTTACATTGGTTAACCATATCAGTTCTAGTGGGTTTACATTGGTTAACTATAACAGTTCTAGTGGGTTTACATTGGTTAACCATGTAAATTCTAGTGGATTTACAGTGGTTAATCATGTAAATTCTAGTTGGTTTACAGTGGTTAGTCATGTAAATTCTAGTGGGTTTACAGTGGTTAACCATGTAAATTCTAGTGGGTTTACAGTGGTTAACCATGTAAATTCTAGTTGTTTTACAGTGGTTAGCCATGTAAATTCTAGTTGTTTTACAGTGGTTAACCATGTAAATTCTAGTGGGTTTACAGTGGTTAGCCATGTGGTTTACAGTGGTTAACAGTGTGATGTGTATTGTGTTTACAGTTTTGATTATAGCAGTGTACCACAGATTATGTTTCGGGTCTGGTTTAAACAGGGTTGGGTTTACAGAGAGTTCAGTTTGTTAATTAGCCTAATTCTATTTAATGGTTAATCTTGATGTGAATGTTAATGATCAAATTACTGTATATAAAATTAAACTGTAAATTAACGAATATCATAAACTAAGTCAATTCCATGAAATAAATGAGTGATTGTGTCTATATGGTTGCACTAATATATGTATAATGTTGTTCTAGTTGAACAAAGAAAACTATATTTAAAAAAGGATGGGATGAGGATGCTTTAATATGGACCTTTGAAATATTTAATTACAGCAAGCTGCATTTCCATAGTTACTTATTGCATAGTCGCCATAGTAACATCAGCAATGCATATAGGTGGTCCAATTGTCAAATGAAAATACAACCTATTTTTATGACAACTTGATTAGATACCGGTACATGATTTTAAATCATGGTATAAATCATTTCAATTTTATAAGTTATGAACATTTCCTAG